AGTGGAGCAGAAGAAGAGAGAGACCTGGAATGTTGAAAAGAAAACCAGGACTCCCAACGCATGGTTGAGTGGTTGCAGGCTTCTTACACAAATCACACTCTTGTTTTCATTCTCACGGTTTGTCTCTGTTCTTTTCGTCCTTACTCTCTTGCATTCCTGTCTTGATTGCTTTCTTTATATTCATGTGCCTGGATACCAGTGGCAAATGCACATAGAAACTATTATTTGCTTTTTGTCCTGGTGCCTGGCGGCCAGTGGTCCAGGAAGAGCAAATGCAAAGAAAGTTGTACTGAGCGCCAGGATGGTGTTCGGTTGGTCACTTTTGCGGTTGGTGCATATGAGCTATTTGAAAATAGTGCATGTTCATTGTAGGTGAAATGTTGATGAGATTTAGCTGGCAAGCTAATATATTAATATATTGAGGAGTTATTTCCAGGGTTTTTTTCAGTTGGCCTCATTTGGGCATTTTTGTGGTGGTGGTTTAAAACCGACCAAACAACAACAATACCCGCCCCCCCAAACCCACATCACTAGTGCTCTTGCAAAATACCAGGTCTTCACTCCAACTCCTAGAGTTAGCAGACCTCCTAAATGCCATGGTTATGAAACAAAGTTAGCTGAAGTAAAATCAAATTTGTACCAGACTTACTCTCAGAAACAATTGCACATCACAAAAAAAGAATGGTTTGAGTCAGCCCAATAGTTGAAATTTGGTAAAATTACCAGCAATTGAAAATCGACAATAATAAGCATTGTTAACAATGTCCTTGAAGGATAAATTTTTACAGAAATAGAACTCTTTGTATTGTGTCTTTTGTCTGGAAAGTTATCCTCTGTATAGTTACTTTCCCTTTTTTTTGAAAAAGGTTTGCAAAGTAGGAGTTTGGTTTCTATACAGCTAGTGAATGATACGCAGAGAAGCAGGAGTTTAGATTATCACTCCACTTCTGGTGTAGCGGTTAAGGAAGTGCTTTAGGCAAGAGAGGAGACAAGCAAATTAGTAACTAAACAACAGTAGTTTTCACAAAACTTATATATTTCACAAAATGTATCTATTTCATTTTGTACATGTTTAACTTTACCAGGGTAATGCACCACTCTAATCCGCTAGAATACTGCAAATCTACTGTTAAATGTCACTGATACAGTGCTACGGTCTCCAAGTTCATCTACCTTATTCTGTCTTGAGAAGTGCCATGCTTCAAGATCTCTCTATAATCTCTTGAGACCACATTGATTAAGGCTCCTGCTATAGTTTTCTGAAACCACAGCTGGTTTTCTTAACCTCCCTGGTCACCTGCTTCTCTGCCATAGCTCTCAAGCCTCAGGACTGTGTCTGTGTAAGTGCTGATGGGCCTGTTCTCTCAACCCAAGCAGGATCAGGCATCATCAAGGACTCATACAGCATGAAATGTTGAATCGCTGCAGTGAAGGGGAAAAGGGATGTTAGGACCAGAACAGAGAGGGTTAGGGAGCGCAGGTTGCTCTTAACCTGCCTTTGCTGCTGGAGAAACTGTAAATGGATCCATGCCCTAGAAAGGATGATTGAAGTTGACTGGGGTGAATTGTCTTCTGCGTATGTTCATTTTAGAAGCTGAGGCTTAATGTTTTAAAGCTGTTTACTAGATGAAATGAATTTTGTGAAAAGTTAATACGTAATGTAATAAAGACTTGTAAATTAAATTGGTTCCTTGGTACTAATTTAACTTTTATTAAAATTATTTGAAAGAGCTATGTTCCAGGCCGAGTAAGGTACATCAGAGGTTTTAACTCCGTTACAGTTGAGCTAGTGTGGTAATTTTTCTTCCCCCAAAAAGTGATGTGATGGGATTGGATTGTTTATAACTGCATTTAGAACATGCTGATTTTCAATGGAGCAATGCTTAAATAATGTTCTAACTTTTTTTAACTGTTTTTTTAAAGCTATATCAGGGCTTTCTAATTTAATGAGTAATAATAATAAAAAATCCCCACCTGTTTGTTTTGATCCTCTCAGGAAGGGAGAACTAAATGGGTTTCAAAGATCAGTTCTGCGTACTCAGACTTCTGTTGTTTTCATTTGTACTTACAGTGTTGATGTCCATTTAAAAAATATACCCAAGATCTTTATAAAAAAAAATTCTTAGGCCTGGTACTTTTTTTTTTATATCAGCTGCAGCTAAATTATATCACACAGATGTTTTTATATGTTGAAGTTATAATTAAGGGTGTTCTTCACTATGCAGAATATTAGATCTAGATGGTACAGTGTAGATTTTTAGTTATGTAGAAATCCTTTTTGTAAACTGGATATTTTACCTGATTTTGTGTACTTTTATTTTGATATGGCATTGTTTGATGCAACAAGCTTTCTAACTAAATGGATAGTGTTGGGAAAGTTGTTCAGGCAGGAAGCAGCAGTGTTGAAAATGAGGGTGAGGAAAGGTTAGGTGTTTGGTATCTGAATTTATTGTTAAAAGAACTTTTCTGTTTTCAGTACTGGGAAGGAAATGCATCTTTTTCGTACTTTGAACTTTGAGGATACAGCTTCACACTTTTCCTTTCCTCCTCCTTTCCTTTTGCTTTTGGCAAAAGCCGAATGTTCTCACATTTGTATCGTACTGCACTAAGCCATCTCTGCATCAAAAGAAGATAAGAGTACTGGTCCTTCTGAACTGATCAGCACTGGCATAATTAGCATTGATCCTTAAATTAAGATGTAGTATCTACATGGGTGATTTATTTTGTTTTTCATTGTCTACAGATTTACAGCATCATCTCCTACTTAATTCATGGTTGTAAAGTTTTCTTCACAGCCATTAAGTCTAAGTATGTCTTTTAAAGTAAGCACCTTACATTACATTTTCCAGAGTTAGGAAAGCCCTATCTCCCTTAGACCTTTGAGTCCATATCAACATCATAAATTCGATGTGAGGCAAACAGGCATCAAGCAAAGTAAAAATATAGCTGTGAGAACATAAAACACTACCTTTGGTGTGTTTCAAAGCATTTCCATTAGAAAAAATTATCTCTAGACTTAACACTTATTCTTTATGATGTATTAATATTATTATGAAAATAGCTTTATGGGATATTTAAGTAGCATTGAGAAAAATTATCTGAAAAAAGGCTTCCTGCCTGAGCCCACATCCAGAATCGTTGCCAGAGCTAAGATGAAAATTCAGATGTTTCTGGCTAACAGAGCACATTGGTTCCGTAAAGGAATTAATTTAGTTTGCTTTCCTTTTATCTTCACAAATAGATACTTCTGCCAAAAATATTCCCCGTTATTCAAGTTTAGTATAAACAAGACATCAGCTGATTACACATAACGTAAATGCTTTGTTGTTTAAATTTTGGCAGCCTATATGTTCATAAGGTGCCTGATATGCTTATAGCTGTTGGCATCATGTGCACGTTATAGTCGCTGCTCTATCAATGTTGGATCAATAGGGAATTTATGAAAACAAGTTAACGAAAATTAAAGTCTGCCAAGTAAGACACGTGCTTCCTGTTTTCTTTGCAGTTTTCAGTATCAAGTTTTATAGTTCTCTGGGAATTCAGAGAACAGGTTTATGGAATTCACTAGGCTTTTAAGTCCATTCATTCTCACTAAGCAGTAATATTTTGTGTGAGTATAAGTAAATACATACCTGAACAACTTGTCTACATGTAACAAATAGAAACATTAGCAGATTGAAGGATAAATGTCTCAAGGATCATGTTTAATAAAATTTGGGCCAACTGTGAGCTTCTGTCATGAATTTTTCCATCAGAACTTCAGAAAACTTAAAACTTTGAAAGATTTGCTTGCACTGGAGGGAAGAGAGAGCTAATTGAAAATTTCTCTTTTGCCTTATCTTTTTTTCATTCCTTCCCATGGTTTTGAAGGAGTCCATTAATATTAGCAATATATGAATGAACAAAAGAATAAATGTGTCTGATGAAGTACAGTAAAAGAAGAAATTCCAGTGTAAAGAAGGGCACTTGACTATGCGTTGTTTATATTGTTACAGGGCAAGGTTACTCTGACGACAGTAACTTTGAGATTTAAACAGATTCTGTTAAACAGTTCATCTCCTAATAGCTAAGCACTCTGTTGAGAGAAGTTGGCTTGAAAATGCAGAGGTGTGAAATACTTTTGACTTGTGTAAACCTCAAATGAAATTATTATTTGAGTTTTGTTAGTGTTTTGTAATTCAGACATGTGACATTGTCCAGCAAAAGAAGATAAAATGCTTAGGTTTTTTTCATCAGAAAAAGCCTCAGAGTACTTTAATGAAGTAATAATTGGTAGAAGTAAATTCTTCAATTAGTTTGGACCTAGCATACATGATGGGTAATTATTCGATTAAATTATTGTGCCTATGCCCCACCCTCTTTGGCAGTATCTTTAGCGTTTTCTCAATCTCCAGCTTCTCAGCACAGAAGCAGCTGGCATTATCGTCATTATTTTATTTTTTTTTAAATTTCCTTAGACAAGTGTGAATCATTACGACATCAAAAGGCAGATTAGTGAGAGATTCATGGAAGCATTTTATATCCTCCATTGTTGAATCACTACTTGTGTGGCAGCTCAGCCAGTCTTTTCTGTGGATAGCAAAGATCGTATAATAGAGCACCTTTTAGAAGACTAGTGGCCAGCATGTTCTCTCTCCCATACATAAATGCCATATGCTATTAGGCATCTGTCCTTAAACACCAAAATTGGCAGAATTTTAATGATACAGTCTGTACTTGTCATAAAAGCAAAGCTGGTAGAGCTATGAGTTCATTAGTCCGGAAAGAAATCTGTTGACAGGCAAGTGTTGGTGGATGGTGAGGCTGGCCTGGTAATGGGAGAGAGATGAAATCATCATAAGAGTCCATCCCCGTTACATGCTCTATAACTAAAGATTTTCTGTTAATATACAAGCATTCTATGTCAGTTTGAGCAATGTGTCTTACTATATTTTATCAATTTTCAGCAGAATATTATATGTTCTGAACCTTTCTTTTTTTTCCTTAAAATATAGGAATATTCTGAGGACAGCAATTCTGAACCAAATGTGGATCTGGAAAATCAATACTACAATTCCAAAGCTTTGAAGGAAGATGATCCCAAGGCGGCATTAAGCAGTTTTCAGAAGGTTTTCTGTCTTTATATTCTATCTCTTATTTGCATATTCATTCGTATTTTAAAATATTTGCTTACAATTTGAGTTATTTTCTGGAATTTTAAGAGTAATGTTTATATTTTTAACTTACCAATGTGCTAAGTGTATCAATGGACAATTTAGACTCCTGGCTGCTTTCAGGATCATTCTTAGGGAGAACGTGGAATAGCCCTATTGTATCGCATAACTGAGTTTTTAATCTTTAGGATTTACTAAGTTAATTAAACAGTCCTAAGTGTATTTTCAACTATAGAAGCCAGATCCATTCATTTTTTTAAAATGAAATGGCGTTTTCCCAAGTGTCTTATGTAATGTATTATATTTCGTTTGCTATCTGATTCCAAAGCTTTAAATGTGTACATACTAAGTGACACAGAGTTTCTTTCCTTCATGACAGTTTTAAATTTTTGATATTTGCACACTGCCACCAGAAAGCAATATGTTAGATGTAACTTTTTAAAGAAAAAATAGATTTTTCCATCTCTTGACTTACAGTATATAACAGTATTATATATCTGACTTTAAAAAAAAAAAAAAAATTTTACTTACAAAACATTCCCTTAACTATGTTACGTTAAAGCCTGGAAGCCTTTCTTATATGTGAAGAAACTATAGTTATTCAGAAGTGTAAACTTTTGACTAATTTAGTCAAGGGGTGGGTTGAGTCAGTTTTGCAGAGGGTGTTACAACTTCTTGCATATATGTCTTTGTGGAGTGTTATTAAAGTTTAGTGCTTGGTGTTAGACAACAGCAACAAAATCTATAAATAACAATTCACCCTCCTTACATCATGTTGTGAAAACTAGTGAGATACATACTCCTCACTTTCTCAATAATACCAGGGAAGAGTAAAATTGAAGAACAGGGCAGAGTGAAACATTACTTTGTAAGGAAAAAAGTGGGGTGAAAAGGCATGTATGGGATATGTACATTTTAAACAAGATGCAAATCAATTTAAGTTTGAATATAGCCTTGATAAATATTGTTTAAAAAATTCTTCTATTTCAGGTTTTGGAGCTCGAGGGTGAAAAAGGAGAATGGGGATTCAAAGCTCTGAAACAGATGATTAAAATAAACTTTAAATTGGTAGGAATTACAGCTATCACTTCAGACTAAACGCCATAAAAATGTATTTGATCCAGAGGTCTTAAGTTGTTATTCTGCTTTATGGCTATGACAACTAAATCTGCCAGAACTTGTCTTCTGTGGCCTTTAATGGCTACTACAGACATGGCAGGGAAATTATGTGGTGGTTGCAAGTCAAAGGCAAAATGGATGCAAAATAGCTGCTGGGGTCAGCTGATAATCTGAAAGTCTGAGGCTCAGTCCTTGCTATACTGAGGTATCATACCATTGAAACCAGTAATGTTTCTATATGTGTGTACTTCACCAGAACAAATCAGTGAAAAACGTATATGCTATATATGCAACCATTCCAAGTAGTTGTATAGCCAACTCTATTTTCTTTGTTGAGATAAATATTTTACATGTCTATTACATGCATTCTTGCTGAAGTTATTCTGCTGCTTATGAATAAAGTGGTGATGTACAAGTTCCTAATAACAACCACTACTGCATAGTCTTTCTGTTATGCTTTCTTCTCTTTATGTGTATTTGCAAGCTATAACTCAGTTTTTAATCATTAAAACAAAACTTAGAACGTAATTTTGTTTTTCTTTTAGACTAACTTTCCTGAAATGATGAACAGATATAAACAGCTATTGACCTACATACGGAGTGCAGTTACAAGAAATTACTCTGAAAAATCCATCAATTCTATTCTTGATTATATCTCTACTTCCAAGCAGGTTAGATCATCAGTTCTTTCATCTTCATGGTTTTCCTTTCTGCATTTTTAACTATGGAATTTTTTGTGTATGGTAGTCTGTTGGTTTGAGGTTTTTTTGATCTTAATAGAAAGCATTTGCAGTATTAGTTTGTTGTCATATGTTAAAATATATTTCCCACATTTGATGGATTCTGTCAGCACAAATAACTTTTCATAAATTTGTCTTAACAGATCTGTGGCTATACATCAAGTTATCCCCAAAAGAGCAATGGCCACAAACAATACTAATGCATTCTCGGTAGAACCTTTGTTAAAGGTCACACTCAGCACTTTGATTGCCATTTTGGATGTTGTATTTTCAGGTTTTATGCAAAGAAATGGTTTGGTGTGCTCAAGAGCTTTCTTTCACGCAGCATTGGTAGTAGAGAAAGGAGATAGCATCTTTTCCTTTGACCATTTCTCTCTCTTTGTAAATTGTATTTTCTTTTTGATATGTAAAGTATTTTTGTTTTTCTCCTTTTCAGTAGGAGCAATGTTGCCTGTTAGTGTTTGTCTTTTGTGACGCAACATAAGAATTTTATTACTTGGTTATATAAGATGGGCTCGTATAAGGTGGCTTTCATTTTTCACTAGCATGATAGATGGTTGCAAATCTTAAAATTTGAATACTTTTTAACTATATCTATTTCATATAAGAAAAGCAAGTGTACTTAGTTTTGTTACTTTAGAAGCTCTTTACAATTTCAAAGCAGACATTCAATAGGATACAGATACCTTTCTTATTTTGAAGTTCAAGCATGCACTTTTAGTTTGTTCAGATTGACTTTATTAACAGGTGCAAATTTGCTGTTTACAATTATAGAATTCTGATTTTTTATGTCAGATGGATTTGCTTCAGGAATTCTATGAAACAACACTTGAAGCTCTGAAAGATGCTAAGAATGATAGATTGTGGTTTAAGACAAACACAAAGGTAAAATATATAACTTACTGTTTTTTGCTTTTGTTTGTGACACCTTCAGTTAACTCTTATCAATTATAATTGCAAAATCCTAATAGACCTTAGTACTTCAACTTTTTTTTCATTACAGCTTGGCAAATTATATTTAGAACGAGAAGAATATGGCAAGTTACAAAAGATTTTGCGTCAGCTACATCAGTCATGCCAGGTACCTTTATATACTAAATCGCTGTGGCTTAGTAAACAACATTGATTTTTTTTTTTTAAATTTTTTTGTTGTTTTGTTTACATCTGTTGCTGGCCTTTGAGACATGCTGCTGAGTTTTAGTACAGAGGGAAAAAATACTGTGCCTGCTTTAATTTGTTAGCCATTTGATAATGTGAACAAAAAAGGATGAGTGTTTTACTTCTTGCTTAAGGATGATTTTTAAAAAAATTATTCACAACTGCTGAATAAGTTTCCTTTTAGTCAGGTGCAAGGATGAGAAGCACATATGAATAATCTGTAATGCATAGATTTTTATTTTAAAATACAGTGAGGATTCCAAGTGAGCTTTACTCAAAACTGAAAGTACAGTTCTTACTTTCCCATTTGGAAGGAAGAAAAAAAAAAAAAAGAAATTAGCCATGCAGCCTGCTGTGCTTGTCTGTGTCCCCTCTTCTTCCTCCAAAATGGAAAATGCATTACAAATATCTGGGAAATGGTTCTGTTATAGGCAGCAGAAGAGTCATATGTATTTTATATATATGTGTGTGTGTGTGTGAGTCATTGCATTTATATACCGAGACTGTGGTTTAAGGAAAGTGGAAAAGAATAAGGGGCATTAACTGTGGAAAACAGTTAATTAAACAAAAATACTGACTTTTTTAATAAAGGGCTTCAAAACTTGGCCTGTGATAAGTTCTTTGAGTATTATGTTTTGTGTTAATAGTTATATAAAAATTTTAGTGTGTTAGGAATATCCTTATTTCTGATAGGAAATTACTGAGAGTATTTGGTAATCAGGTTTTTCCTAGTATAAAACTGAAATCACTGTTCTCTTAAAATTTCACAGTATTTATTACTTAATCTATCCTAGACTGATGATGGGGAAGATGATCTAAAAAAAGGTACTCAACTACTGGAAATCTATGCTTTGGAAATTCAAATGTATACAGCACAGAAAAATAACAAAAAACTTAAAGCACTATATGAACAGTCATTGCACATCAAGTCAGCCATTCCTCATCCACTGATCATGGGAGTTATCAGAGGCAAGTTAATCTTGAATTTTTCATTTCACTTCTGTTGCATAGATTAGTTTTATGAAAATCTGCTAATGAATGTTTTTTCCAGTTCCAATTACAAAGACAGAGGATGCTGTAGATTCAGAGGCACGCAAACCATATGTGAATAAAAGACTACAAATACAGTGGCTACAGTCTTACCATTTAATGTTTGCCTCCTGTAAGACTTCAGCTCTGCTGCTCTGGTGCCTAAGTACCACTGGTCAGAAGGGCAGGACAGTTGGCTACATATACTGTAGGAAAGAAGCAGTAGAAGACTGCTGTTTGACACCATGGCAGGCAACAAAGGATAAATGCAAAGGCATTTGCAAAGGATAAAAAACAAGGCTTGGCAGGACTGCTAGTGGAAGGGACTGCTATTTCTGCAATCCCCTTTTGTAAATCTGTGCTTGATGTCTCACCTCACTAAAATTCATCAGGAACTGAAGGGCTTTAAGATATGTTTGAAAATATTATTTATTATCCATAATGAGGAATTATAGTGGAAACATGCTGTGTGTCTTGGAAAAAAATGTTGTCCAGAATACTGTTGTGCCTTCCCTCTCCCCCTGGTGTAGGCACTTCCAGAATCAGGCAGCAGTGGCTACTTCAGAAATAAAAGGAGATACAGAGTATTTCTCAATTTTTCTGTGTGGTTTTGCTCAACAGATAGGGAAAATTCCATAAATATAGGAAGTCCATTGCCTTTGGAATGGAGATAAATTCCTTTTCAGTTTTTAGAGTATTTTAACATAAAGTTAAAATAATTATTGGCTGTGAGAATTAGTGTTCTTTTAGATTTATGGTGTGGGTTGGGTTTTGTTTTTTCTTCTTTGGAATAGGTTTATTCAAATGGCAATGCTGTATGTGAAGGCCCTCATGCCTTTTTTTTTCCCTAGTGATTTCAGAGAATGAAAAGACTCCTGAAAATATTTCAGTAATCTATTTAGAAATAGCATGGAACTTCTGAGTACAATTATTGTAGTCAGCAACAAGCACGCAGTGTTCCTTTTCTCTTCATCTGTGTTTTCTTTTCAGAATGTGGAGGCAAAATGCACTTAAGAGAAGGAGAGTTTGAAAAGGCACATACTGATTTTTTTGAAGCATTCAAGAATTATGATGAATCAGGGAGCCCCAGAAGAACCACTTGCTTAAAATACTTGGTCTTAGCAAACATGCTCATGAAATCTGGAATAAATCCATTTGACTCTCAGGAGGTATTCTTTTTCTTTTTCCTTCCCCCCCCCCCCTTTCTGAATTGATAGGGAAATTACCCAAAAGATGAAAATGGAAAAAAAAATATTTAAAATCTAAACATGCATATTGTGCTTTCTGTTCTGTGTAGGCTAAACCATACAAAAATGATCCAGAGATTCTTGCAATGACGAATTTAGTAAGGTAAGAATTTTTCTGGAGAACAAAAAATAAAAAGATGTAGTGTCCAATCCAGAAATGGAGTATTTTTGGAGATGGCTGTTCTCTGCACAGCTAGCACAGTTATTTCATAAATATTTGTAGACTGTTTGTTTTTCTTAAGAAACTTGTATTTACTGTGACATACCAAAGTATCTATACTATACCAGGTAGGCGTATAGAAACATGCTGTTATCTTCTATGTTGAATTTCTTATGCAGTGGCAAAAACTTCATTTCTTCCCTTAAATAAAGTTGTCCCACCTTGTACTGGGGTGGGTTTGAGTTTGGCTGATTATATATGAGAAACTGAGATGAATGACATCTCATACCAAAGGCAGTAGAATTGGATGCATGGATATGTCATGATTACTAAAGGAGTTGCATAATTTAGGAATACGAAACTGAACTCCCAAGTGATCTCCCCTATCCTTCAAACATGTGAAAATCGAAAGAAGGTTTCATTACCTCTTACAGGCAAGTGTGATCCGAGAACTTCTAGTATATTAAGATCATTAGGCAAGATGAATTGAACTGAGGCAGTGTTTGTATACTGTGCTTTGAAGCTAACCTATTCCATCCACTCTGTCCTGCCTTTGGTTTATCAAGAGAGAAGAAAAAAAAAAAGCTTAGGAAAACTTTTCCCACCTTTTCATGATGTAAGAAATAATGCCTGCTCACATTTTGATATACACAGTTGATCTCATGTTGGAACAAACTTGCTCCAATACTGCTATAGTGCTGTATGATTGTATGCATACAAATTGTTTCTGAAAGCGAGGATGTTCGTCCATTATTGACATAATGATGAATAAATGGTTTGGCAGTTTATTAAGGGACTATTTTCAATAATTCGACTTTAGACATGTCTTTTCTACTTCATTGTAATAGTTTCATGTGAATTAGAGGCAGAAGGAATTCCAGATGGCCTTACCCAATCTGATTTTATTCATATTCCTAATTTATATCTTTTATCTTGACATTTGAGTATAACTGCTTCTTTAAAATTAATAATGCAATTAAAGCAGTGTAGATAAGAAATATGCAGAAGATAAAACCAATTCCCAAGATTACAATTGTGTTTTTAATTCTTCCTATACTCTACATTGGGAACTTGAATGTTTTACATATCATACACAGAGACTTCTGGAATAAACAATAAAATATACTTAACTGAAATTCCTTTTAATTATGAAGTAAAATTTAATGGTTTCATGTGATACAGTCTGTTCCACTTCTGTAACTCCATTTATAAAATCCTCAAGTTCCTCCTTAAATCTAACAGGTCTTTTTCTTGCCCATTTTATAGTAAAGGATGACTTTTTTTTTTTTTTGGACCAGTTTAAAAACAAATTGAAAATGTTCAGAGACTATGAAGGAAAAATAGATGTTGTTTTTTCAAATGTTTGATATTAGTATTAAAGAGAAGTTGAAAGCATGTATTGAACAGTCTTTCAGGTTAAATATTGATAAGCCTGTAGCTTAATATAACTAAATTACTGTGTACGTTTGATTACTTAGTAGATAGTCACTATTACAACTGACAGTTCCTGTAAGAAATTGATAATTTGAATTATAAAACCGTTATATTTCAATAACAAGTTCTCGTTTCAGTGGTTACAGCTCTTACCTTTAAAGGATGCTGTGGTGCCACTACTGAATAATTGGTGTGTAAACCCACCTTTTTGTAATCCTTTCTCAGATAACAAGATTGAATAGTTAAACATTATATATACTAAAAATAAGCTCTAAGTAAAAATCTAAAAAGTATGTTATGCCAGAATTACCTATGGTTAATCCTGGAAGTCAGGATTTCTTCCATCTTCCAGTATTTTTAGAATTCAGCTTAAGACAGACATTCTAGAAATGATGACAGCCCTCTAGGCTCTTTTTAGCTCTTATTTGTTCCATAAAGTATGGCTTCATGAAACCAAAATTCAGGTAATGACACTTTTAAAAATTAATTATTTTTAGCATCTAGGCTTTTTTAAAGAATAACTTCTTGAAGTATAAAAGTTTTGAAATTAGAGCGCACATGTGGAATAACTGAATGTTCATACTAAACTTTTGTAAATGCTACTAAAATTGAAATAGAAAAGAGATCATTTGTGTTGCATTTCATCTTGAAATGGCTTTTCCTTATACAGGTTCTGAATATAATTATTTGCCACCAACACTTAATACAGATTTTTTTCGAAGATGTAGAATACAGTCTTATGAGTTTGTTTAACTTTTAAAAATAATAATTCAGTCTCTTGGTTTTTTTCTGAAGTGCCTATCAGAATAACGACATCACTGAATTTGAGAAGATTCTGAAAACAAATCACAGCAACATCATGGACGATCCCTTCATAAGGGAACACATTGAAGGTA